GGGGGGGGCACGAGGTTACAAGGTTATTGGGGGGGGTACCGGTACCTTTGCCTTTGTGCTGCTGCTGTTGCAGTACGACTCCCCCTACCCCCCAAAAAAACTCACCTTGCAACCTGCCTGCAACTCGCTTTTGGGTCAGGACCCCCCGTTTGAGACGCGCTGGGGTCCCCTGGGACGCGTGTATTGGGGGAAAGAACGCCAGAGAGCAGAACGTCACGGCCCGGCAGGCATCGGTAGGGTCCTACTCGGCAAAATGCAGAGGGGTTCGGAACGGGTCCCGTCGGAAGAGAGATTAAAATGACGGGGACTTTCAGCTTGGGAAAGAGGAGACTCAGGGGGGATAGGACAGAGGTCTGTAAAATCATGAGTAGGGTGGGGAAAGTGACTAAGGAAAAGCTGCAGCCGGTCCCCGAGTTGCGAACGGTGTTTGCCGAGTGTGTGGTCTGTAACTCGTACGTAACTCGGGGAGAGGCTGTATTTACTTCTTCCCACAATATAAGAGCAAAGGGTCGCCCAACGAAATGAAGACGCAGCAGGTTTGAAACAAACCAAAGGAAGTTTGTCGTCACTCGGCACACAGTTAACCTGTGGAACTCCTCGCCGGGGGACGTTTTGAAGACCAGGACTTGAACAGGGTTCAAAAAAGAGCCAGATAAATTCATGGAGGTTAGGTCCATCCATGGCTACTAGCCAGGTGGTGTCCCTGGTCTCTATTTGTCTGGGAATGGGTGACGGGAGAGGGATCATGTAAGGATTCCCTGTTCTGTTCCCTCCCTCTGGGGCGCCTGGCATTGGGCACTGTTGGACACTGGCCCAGTCTGGCCACTTCGCTGTTTTTATCTCTCTTAAATCCAGAGCTGCTCCCTTGTCTGGATCCCTCATTTCCCAGGAAGGAGGAGAAACAAAGGACCAACGCACGGAGTCTGATTCCCGTTGGTTTGTTTCTGAATCCTCCAAACCTTTCAAGACTTCTCGGGCTCCAGAAAAAGTCCCACCTCCCTCTCCACCGGTCCCTGTCCCGTTCTTCTGTGGGGTTTTATATTGGTGCCTGGCTCTTCTCAACGGAGCCCACGCTGCCGCGTTTTTGCAGAAGAGGATATGCAAATCGCGCTCACATTTGCATATCTTTTTCCGATTCTTTCTGCGGAAGGATTCTCACCTCCCTCTCCACCGGTCCCTGTCCCGTTCTTCTGTGGGGTTTTATATTGGTGCCTGGCTCTTCTCAACGGAGCCCACGCTGCCGCTTTTTTGCAGAAGAGGATATGCAAATCGCGCTCACATTTGCATATCGTTTTCCGATTCTTTCTGCGGAAGAGGATTTGCCGATAAAAAGCTCCGTCTAGAAGGGGCCATTTGCCAGAAAATATAGGTCGCGGGCTTAAAAGGAACCAAAAGGAATTTTTTTCCCCCCCACGCAGACTAGTTAACCCGTGGAACTCCTCGCCAGAGGACGTTTTGAAGACCAGGACTTGAACAGGGTTCAAAAAAGAGCCAGATAAATTCATGGAGGTTAGGTCCATCCATGGCTGTTAGCCAGGAGAGGTAGGGATGGTGTCCTTAGCCTCTGTTAGTCTTTCGCCAGATCCCTTATTCCTCAAAAATCGAGGTTTACAGGATCTTGCGAAAGACGGGGCCGTAGCTTCCGAGACGTCTCGATTTTCCTCCCGCCTCCCCTCTCAGTACCTCTGAATTGCCTCAGCACCTCCTTTAAAGCGACAGATTGCTGGGAGAAATCCCCGAGTCTCTTCTCCAGCTCCGGAGACATCCCCGGAGGCGGCAGGAAGGCCTCGCCCCTAGGGAGAGAAAACTCCGCTGTGAATTGCATTCATTGCTCCTTGTTCTCCACGGCTCACTTGCCTTTTCTCGGGAACCTCCCGCCAGCCCTGGCTGCTGCCCCGGGGACCCCGGGAATGGATTCCTCTGTGTGTCCTACCCTCACAGACGGGGATAGCGAGGCATAGGCCGTGTTTGCTTCCCCATCATCAGTCTTCAGCCGTAGACCGCCGAGACGACTAGGCCCAGACCCACACGGGATGTAGGCACCTCCGTCCCAAATGTAGGCAGCATTGCAACCCACCAAACCCCCTTTGTCTGCCACTAAACTCACTCAACACCTTTTTGCCACAGCGCGCGGCCAACCTGCGGAACTCCTCGCCACAGGACGTTGGGAAGACCAGGACTGAGTTGAAAAAGGAGGTAGATAAATTCATGGCGGTTAGGTCCATCAGTGGCTATTAGCCAGGATGGGTAGGGAGGGTGTCCCTGGCCTCTGTGTGTCTGGAAATCGGTGACAGGAGAGGGATCACGTGAGGACTTCCCTCCCTGGTGTTGGCCACTGTGGGCAGACCGGACACGGGTCTGGATGGGTCTTTGCTTTGACCCAGCCTGGCCGATCTTACGCATTGATTCGAAAACCAATTCGCAGTTCCAAGCCCCCCGTCCCTCCAGACTTATAACCCGGCATCTCCGCGCCGGACGCCTCTGTTCTGAAAGTTGCCGGAGATCCTCCGCCAATCAACCTCCAGCTCCTTCCGTTTGGAGCTGCGCTATTAGCAGTAGAGCCCCAGGACACACAGAGGAATCCGGCTTCCATCCCCCTGGGCGTAGCGGTTACGGGCAGACGGGAACGGACCCCGTTTCCCCCCAGCGCCTCTTGAAGCACCGGCGGGAAGGTATGGAAGCCACTTCAC